TTCTTCGTTTATATAACCTTTAATTGTTGACATGTCTTATTTTTTCTTTGATATGATTTTACCTGTAATATTTTTCTTCTTTCTGCTTCTTCATATATTCTTAATCGTTTTTGATTATTTATCTCCTTTCTGCTTCTCAGCAAGCCAAGGATGGCAAGAATTTTACCGTAAGCTCATCTAAATCCAATAAGCATCATCATAAGTTTGATCAAACTTCACTGGGTATAACTTCTAGTTTTGAGCCCGTATCTCCTCAAGCTTTGCAGCTTTCTTCGACTCCCGCTATCAGCAACGCCCTACTGACCAGGAGCGGCTCTGAATTGCAGCCTGGTTCTTCCCAGAATTCGGCTGTTGTTGTTCATCCCGAAGTCGCTCTAACGTCGGCCTCAGCCATAGAGCTTGACTCTAAAATAGGCAGAGCTTCCCAGCATCGCCATCATCATCGCTCCACTCGCTGCTGTCGCTGCCGACGTCGGAGACAGATGTCGCTTCGTGAAAAAAAGAGCATAGGAAGAAGTATGGTTAAAATGTCTTCTGAAGGCAGAAGATTAGAGGCACCACCTGTCCTGACCGGGTTGGCATCAAACGAAGATGATGCGGAGGGTGACATAGGTTCCTCCGGTGAAGCATTTCAAAATGAATTTGTGCTGAAACAAACTGCCAAGCCAAAGCGAACTAGGGATCGTGGCAGGCCGAAGCAAGTATCCACTGATGAGCAAGCGATCACGCCGGTAATTAGCAACTCTGGTCTTTAGACTCATACTATCCTTTCTATGGTCCAATGCTTTCATTGAATTTATTTCAAGGTTTTCTATGGCTGTTGGATCAGCGAATGCGATTTTGGTGTTACCTGCATTTCTAACCGACTATCTACTTTACGCTAACGGCAGTATCGATGCTACTTTGTTTATATCACCAACTATAATATGTATTTTCAGAGTGAGCATCTAAAGAGATCCGTCTAAAATGTATAAGTATTTTACCAGAACGATTTTATGGACTTAATGAGGAGGTAATGCACGGAAATTTTGCCTTCAACCACGTGTGCGCTGGCCCTAATAGCGACATTGTACGAAACCTGAAAATAAAGACACTTTGGCCACGCAAGTATGGTGATCCATTTATACTCTTTTTATTCACTTTTAACGAACCAAATGGTAAAGCTTAGGTGAAAAGATGCTATTGACTCGAATCTAGCAAGAGGTGACGAGTTTTTTTAGATTTCAGTTGTACTTACGTTGTGTGGTACAGCTGACGACATTCGAGCAAAGTCATAATCTAAATGCTACTTCATAACACGTTGCTTTGCTATTAAAACTGAAAATTCTGATGTTTTTTTTAATTTTTCGTATAAAAAGAAACCCTGATCTTTACACATAAAATTTCCAGCTCAGCTCCTCCATATGGGCCAATTTTAATAAAACGTTTGCGCGAAGAAGTTTTTTTGCCAATTAAAGTCATCACATGATAGGATTTCCTGAAACACTCCGATTCTTTACACCAGGCAGAGGATGGGTTTTATTCTTCAAAGTCGACAGCCGTGGCGATAGACTACCTCATAAAATTTGGCCAGTTAATACAAAATGTGTTCAGCCATTCTCCTAATCCAAATCAGCTTTTAATCAACTTTAAGCCCCCTTTAACGTCAAAAATTTATGAATGACGACATTCAAACCATATAAATATCAAATCTTGTATCAGGACGAAATCGCTTGCGTAGATAGTATATGTAAACTGGGGACTATTACTCACTTTTCATTCAATTATATATATTTGTTTATTGAATTATATGCGTATTCATATGTACATTATTCACATTCATTGTGTCTATATCATTACGTGATTGTTAAATTATTATAATCTACTTTGTATATCAGCCTATCCTTGAGGACTCACTGGTTTTACAATCTTCTGCAAACACATCGTATACTATAATTAGTAAGTGACTCATTATTTGTCACCCCATTTAACTTTACCGTATGCATATATAAATCTTTCTTCATATACTTATAAATACATATATATTAATATATTCATATTTGAATATATATAAACCAGTAGGTCCCTCAAGAAAACAACTGAGACATCTATAATGCATATTTTTCCTCCTCTGAAACGGCATAGAAATTGTTTGGCCTTATTTTGGCA